AGGGAGGGGCGGTACCTGTTGTTCGGGGCCTTGCGCACCAGGCCGGCCGCCTTTGTTTTCTTCCTGGCGAAGTCGCCGTCGAAGGGCAGCACCGAGGCGTAGCCGTGCTCGGCCTCTGCGGACACACGGGGCGGTCAGCGGTCCCCCGCGCCCGCCTGCCCGCCGCCCGCCCACCCGGGCACAAAGGGGCGCGCGCTACCTCGGTCCCTGCGCTCCAGGTACTCGGCCGCCTCCAGCAGCAGGAGCAGGGAGTTCAGCTCCATCCTGCCGCCCGCGCCTGGGACGGCGGCGGCAGCTGCCCGGCGCGCTCCAGCCGGCTCCGCTGGCCGCCCGCCCCGCGCCTGGCGGCACACTTGCCTGACTCCCGGACTCCTGCGCTCGGCCGCCACCCTCAGCCTCTGGCCCTCAAATTGACACATACGGATGATTGGCATCCTGGGCTGCCAATCGGCATCGGTACTCTGGCCTTGGGGGCGGGCCCTGGGCCGGACTGCGGCCAATGGGGACTGGCCGTGCGCCTCAGGCCTGGCCCAGAATGTTGACAGATGCGGAGCTGGGCACGGATAGGCCGGCCCGCGGTAGTAACAATTTAGAAGCCCAAGCTTAGCAACAGCACGTGGTGGCCCGGCCCCCGCGCTCACTGAGTGGTGGCCGCCGTGCATGTTAAGTAGGCACCGCGCGCCGATTGGCCGGAGCCGTCTATGTAAATTGCGGCCGAGGACCAATGGCCTGCGGCCGGGCGGGGGGTGGGGGGGGATTGCCAATGAGGGCGCTCTGGCAGGACAAGTTGCCGGGAGGAAGCGGAGCGCGGCGGGACCGCCCGCAGGGAGCTGGGGGCCGGGAGGACGTGGAGTGTGTCTCGGGAGACCCGGGCAGGATGCGCTTCGTCGTGTCCGTGCACGGCGTGCGCAGCGACCTGTAGCCCAGGGTCAGCGGCGCCCCGGATTTCGCGGAGGGAGAATCGGGCATCCGGACCTGATTGGGGCGGAAACAGGGGTCGCGCTTAGGGCTGCGGACGGCACCTGTGCCCTGGGCGCACACAAAGTGGCTTCAGGGAAGGCCGACCTGGGGAGAGAGGTACCTCAAAGCCAGGCCGCTCCGAAGCTGGCAGAGCCGCTCCCTCAGTTTCCTGATGGACTTGAGGGCTGGAAGAAAGGTCACCAAGCCTAAGGGCCCCAAATCTGCCGTCACAGGTGGGAAGGGCCCGCGTGTGCTGTGTGGTCTGAAGGGTAGGGGCATTCCAAGAGCCAGTATCGGGGGGAAAGCTACTTTGCCCTACTTGGAAGAGGCAAGTTCAGCAAGCTCTTGGCTGGCCCGCCACCCTAAGCCCTAAAGCCCTGGAACCCCCCCTCCCCCAGTCCTCACCAGTCTGTAAGCCCTTAAAGACCTGGACCCCACCCACATCCCCGCTAGTCTGTAAGTGCACAGGGAACGGGCAACTCCAGGTGCTCTGCCCCCAGGACCCCTTGAACTCTTCACTGGATTTAGAGGTTGAGAACGGACCAGCAGGCTGGAGGGTTCTGTAACATACGGTCTTGACAACATCCCCTAAAATGGAACGAGGCTACTGCTGCCAACACAACAAAACTATTAATGCCACAGCACTTTACTGAAGGATCAATACTTCCTTGTGGGTCTCCGTGTACCCCATATGCAGATAAGGAAACCTGAATGTCTCCTGGAAATAACAGAAAAATGGAGGTTGGTGCTCCCACACTGGTTACCCAGGGCTGGTACAGTCAATCTGGGCGTGTGGAAACCAGAGCCTCCTCCCTCCCAACCCGGGTGTGAGCCACAGATGTCTGACCTGTGGGGCGAGATTAAGAAAAACAGGTGCTCCAGTGGAGCCCTACAAAACCCAGTGCGGAACCCCATGCTGCGACAAACAGCCCTAGATGACATTAAAATAATTTGGTATTGGCTGGGGAGCCAGATAGAGCAGGTTCGCCTGGGGCTGCCCGGAGCTGTGAGGAAGGAGGACGTCCATCTCTAGGGAGCACGAGGACACAGGCTGAGCTCTGGGGCCCCGAGAGCTTAACTCCTGGGTGCCAGCAATGTGAAGGGTCACCTGGGATATTAAAGCAAGACCTCCTGCTGCCTCCTTCTGTTGGGGCGGGAGGTTTCAGTGCAGGTGCAGGGTACAGGTGCTCAGGGTGGCTTAACTGCTGCCTCCCAGCCTGGGAAATTTTTAATCTCGACCTAATACACTCCCTCCTGCCAGCTGTACCCAGGACTAAGCATTTTCTGGAGCCTGAGGGTCTCTCCCTCTCCAGGAGCCCAGGAGAATTGGGTAGTGGAGATGACCGAGGGGCCAAGCCAGGAGGCTGCAGGCTGAGCTGGATCTCCAGGGGAGATCTGGAAGCCACCTCTCAGGTACCAGTGTGCAAGTGCCATGTGCTGCTGGCCCTATTTGGGCCAGGAGAGTCTCTACAACCACAGCCTACAATGTGTGAGATGGGGCAGAGGCACAGGTTCCACAGAGTGGCTGGGGTTTGGGAAGAGGAAGCAGCAGGCTGCCTAGCCGACCAAGACCCTCATCTGTATCTCAGCTCTCCTCCTCCACCATTCCAAGTACTGTGGCCTACCAAATCCTTCCCTGTCCCTTCTCTGGACAAAGCCCAGATCTTTCTTGTGGGAACTGCCAAGTCCACAGTGGGGCAGAAGGGAGACATTATGCACTCTGTAGTGTGCTGTCCATCCCCCCAAGCCCTGTGTTCCCTTACAGGTCTGGAAGAAAGAATCTGGAGGGACTCCCCCAGTTCTGGAAGGAGGACCAGGAATCCCAGTCTGCCTGTCTTTCCTGGTCGAACCTCCCACCCCAGTTTCTTCCCTGGCTATAAATGAAGCTAACACCCACTTCTGGGGCATCTGGAGGGTGGAATGAAGGGGGTTTGGTCCAGCATGGGGAAAGGCTGCTTGCTCCCACCCAACAGAGTCCCGAGAAACCTTTATGAGACTGCTCTCTCATGTGGTGGCACACACCTTTAATCCCAGCACTTGGGAGGCAGAGGCAGGTGGATCTCTGTGAGTATGAGGCCATCCTGGTCTACATAGTGAGTTCCAGGCCAGCTGGAGCTACAGGGAGACCCTGTCTCAAAAAGACAGAAGGGGGGGGGGCACAGAAAGAGAAAGAGGAAGAGGAGGAGGAGGAGACTGCTCTCACATCTCTTCCCAGGTACTTTGGCCCTGTTTCCTTTCTCTGGATCCAGGGTCATCAGTTTCCAGTAGACAATCCACTCATACCCCTCCCCAGGTTTGGGAACATTGTCCACGTGTCTTGAGGGCCTCAGCAGAGCATCAGGGAATGCTATACATTAGTCAGGACAGAAAGGTGAGGCCTATTCCACCACCTGCCCCCAGAGGCCTGGCCCTGCCCCCTCCTCTCCCACCTTTGGCCTCAGTCACTGGAGCAGACACCCTGAAGCCACCAATCCCCAGCATCCTATTTTCCCCACCCCTTCCTGGCCCACCTGCCTGAATACTGCAGCCTGCACCTGCCTCTCAGATCCATAGGGAACAGCTCCAGGAGGACAGGTCTGGGTCTGAAGGATGGTAGGATCAGCAGATTCTGGAAAGCCATGATGAGCCCAGTCCCCTAGAAGCCTCTGTTCCCTGCACTGAGAGGCTGGTGGTGTGCCCACACCAGAAAGAATGTATGAAGTTTCTATCTGAGTTCCTCCCTGACAGCCTCTCTGGATTTTAGTACGGTCATGAGAAGTTGGCTCTCTGATTCTCAGTTTCTCTAACTATGAAATGAGTGTGGTAGCCTCCAGCTCTTGGGGGGAGGTGACACAATGAAGAGTGCATGGAAAGCCCTAGGCAAGAGCAGGCTAAGCACAAAGGGGTGCCGCAAACCAGTAAGTGCTGCAAACCCCTGGCCCTGCCCATAGGGAAATGGAGCCTGAAGGAGCAGGCCTGCCCAAGTCACAACCGGTCAAAACCTGGGGTGGAGCCTCTGGCTGCCAAGCTGGCCAGCCACAAAGCACCAGGCCAGGTCTCTGAGCCCTTCCAGAAATTTGACATGCAAGAAATGCTGTCTCCACGAAGACGACGGGAAAATCAAAATGCATGAAGATGTAATTAACTGTCTGTGGAAACTAACAGAATGCCAACATTTTTAAGTTTAAAACAGTTAATTGTATAGGTGAACAATTAGTGGGGTACATTTTTTTTTTCTTTGCAGTGTTTTTCCTACTAGACGGATGGGCCCTGTACTAGTTAACTATTTGTACCCTAAATGAATTTCATAGCTAAATGGTCCAAATCTTTCAAAAGATTTCACAGAAGAAAAATTTTTTAAAAAAGAAGAGGGACGTAGGTGGATGCACTTGCTGCCATGGGGTCTCCGTGGTGGGGAGGGCCAGAACCTCTGGCAGCTGAACCAACTCGGCTTTGGCCAAGAGGCACAGAGAGGGCCCAGCATGACTCTGCCTCTGCTCCTGGACCCATATGGCTGTGGGGTCCCTCCTTGGAGGTCTCCCATGAACCACAGACGCTCTGCTGTGGCCAGTGGGTGTTGTGGGTGGGAGTTGGCACTACTTTCGCTCAAAGTTTCTTAGATGTGGGCCTGGGAGGATGGGGATGGCAAGAGGTGGGTACATGGGTCCCTTTTGCTTCCCCCAGCTCCCTCTACACACTTCTACAGCACCAAATCCATAGAGGCCACAAAACCACCCAATCCGGAATGCTTCCAGCCCCCACCACAACCCTAGCTGTGAAAGGCACCTAGTGCTAGCCTGGACCCTTCTTCCTGGCCTCCCAGAGCTATGAGGGCATAGTCTGCCTGCCATTGCCATGACAGTTAGGCCCCTGTAGAACCTACAACTCATTTGCAAGATCCAGAAAACTAGGGCATGGCCACAGAATCTGGCTATGCTAGAACTCTGTCTGGACTTGGGGTACACAGTCACCGTGGGGTGCCCCTGCAGAGAAGCAAACCCTAGAAGCCAGGCAGTACTGAGGAGCCACCAGGGTGCCCCCTGGTGGCTATTAGAGGCTGCAGCCAGCACTCTGGCTGGGTCAGGGCCACAGGGGAGTACTGGGAATCCCTGCCTTAAACCCTTCCCTCCATTTACCTCCAGAACCATCATTACCACAAGAACACTAGAGTCCTTCAGAGTCCCATGCCATGTCACACACCCCAGGGTCATCAGTTGTCCTGCTTATGGCCAGCTTTTCTCCACTCAGCCCAGGACTCAGCTGAGTGTAGAGATGCCATGCTGCCTCCAGCTGCACCTGGGGTCCTCAGGGGAGGTAGATAGAGACGGAGGACGAGCTAGCTGTGATGAAACACAAACATGAGAGGGGAGCACTAATGAAGCCTCTTGCTATCTCGTGAGTATAGGTGGAGTGGGGTGGGGCCACAGAGCCACTTCTGTGGGCACTGAGGTGGGGCTCCTGCTTCTCCCCATCCATGCCACCTCTCAAGTTCAGGCACAGCAGTCTCTGCCCTAGACCTTTATCTTGCCAACTTGAGCCATGTGGCGCTGTAGGCAGTCTGGCCTTTGAGCACCTGTGGGCCCCTGCCTGTCACTGGACTCTGGGATGGGGATGCTGGGGAATGCCCAGGGCCCTGTCCCAGGACAATGTATAGCCAGAGAACAACGAGAACCCCGCTGCCAGCTGCCAAGCACTGTGAGGTAGTCGTGGGCTAACAGAACTCCCGAATCCCAAGGGCGGCTCCCAGTAGAACCAGCTGGACCCAGTGCTTCCCAGTTCTTTACTACACTGGACACTTCTGCCTCTTGATGAACCTCCTTGAAGCACACAGTCAGCTACTGTCTGACCTCCATGAGCCCTGCCTCCTACCTGTGGTCACCAGGCACCCACCTTCAAGGGATTGGGCACCCAAGACCCATAAGCCCAGGCTCCAATAGTAGATGAGGACTCAGTAATCATGACAATCCTTGCCTGAGCCAGTGTCCTACATTCTCTCCAGGGTACAAGGAGGCAATCCCCAGGCTGCTAGTTATCACAGACCTGAGACCAATTTCACCAAAGTGGAGTGGCCAAAGACACTATCTCTGCCCCTCCCTCCTGAGCCCCAACACAGGCCAGAAGCCTGGGCTACAGAATGGGCAATGGTTGGGGAGCCAGCCATCCTCACAAGAGCACCTGGGGAACTAGGCACTCTCGCAGGCTTGCAGGGGGAAAGGGTGGCCACTCCCCTCCTTGAGGCTGATTGGAAGGCAAGGTCTACCCTTCCAATATCCCCAGAGTATAGATGCTCAGCCTCTCAGAGGAGAAGCCAACACGGACAAGAAGTCAGTATTCACAGAAGACAGGAGCGCGTGTGCAATCCTTAAATAGATTTATGGAAATGGTTTCGAATTACAGCATTTAGAAAATAAAAATAATCTCCATACATAATATTCCCTCTGTTATATACTCTTTGCCCCTCACAGAAGCCATTTTTGTGCATGTATATTCCACTGCTGAACAGCAATTGGATTTCGTCCTATAAAAGAAGCAGTAGGTGTGTCATCTCTCTAAAAATAAAACTGTAATCGTCATTGCAATGTGAAGCCTGAGATTGAAGCCTGAGGAGGTGTCCAAGCATCTCAGCCTGTCCTGGCTGCTCTGAGGTCTGAGGAAGTGAGCTCAAGTCCAGGGGGTACAGAGGGAAAGAAGAAAACATCAGCCTAGCGAGGGGCAGCCTGGTGAAGCCCAGGCCCAAGAACCTGGGAGCTCAGCCTGTGGGTGTGAGTAGGTGTCAGCCCCTACTCGGCCAGCAGGTGGCAATGGGGCAGATGCCAAAGGCATGTCTGCTTCCCCCAAAGACCCCCCCCACTGGGTCTGCTTCCCACATTCCCCCTCCAAGAAGAAATGAGATGTGTGTGTTTAGTGGGCAGTGGCAGGGCACTGGGGAGTAAGGTGGGCGGAAAGCAGCAGGAAGTTCTGCTGATTCTGGGGTTTGGTGCCTCTTCACATCTGTTTCCAGATTCTCAGCTACACACTTGAGTGCACAGAATGGGCGCTGTCCTACCTAGTACACACAGCTTGAGCAGAGCTCCAATGGATGGGTAGGAGACCCCAACCCTGTCCTGGCAGGCACCCTGCCTAGAAGCAGCGACCAGGCACCCCTGGGTTCCTTCTGTGGGTAGAGCTGACCTCCTGTTGGCCCTCATGCCAGGACTGGTGGAGAGGCCAGGGAGAGCAGACAGAGGCTCAGGACGTTCTGGAGGCCAGGCAGGACTGCAGCCGTAACAGCTTGATGTGACGCAGTGAGGCCCGCCCTCCTGCAGCACAGCCTGGACAGGGCACAGAGCAGGTGCAGCACCTCCTCCTGAAGACCCTGGACAGGATGCAAGGCAGACACAGTTCTTCTGTCCTGGAGTCCCCAGCCCTGCACAGGCTGGGGAGCACTGAGCACAGCATCACATGCCTGCCTTGTCACTGTAGAATGGTGTGACGTGGAACATGTAGCAGTGTGTGCACACGCGGACGGGCTTCACCTGCCCGTAGCGGGGCAGTGGTGCTGAGTGTGAGGAGCAGCGGGAGCAGAAGATCTGGAAGCCAAGGAGGGGCAGTTGGCAGTGAGCAGGCAGGGCCTTAGCCAACCCCCTTACACAGCCCTCCAATCCAAACCAGGCAGGGCAATGGTGTGTGGGAGTCTGTTTGGCCCTGACCCAGCAGGCTGTGGAGCTGAGGCTTTCAGGAAACACTGGGCAGGCCCGGCCCCAAAAGGACAGGCTTCCTGAGAGTATCTAGGCTTTTTTCATGGCCACTACAGACTCCTGCTTAAACCCTCTGTCCCCTCCCTGATCTTGGCTTGAAGTGGCCAGGACTGAACTCCAGCATTATCCAAGCATGTCCCAATATGCAGAGTCAAAGCTGAGCCCAGGACTCAAAAGGGTATCTGCACAATGTTGCCAGCCTCTCAGGACATCAGCCCTGACTTCCAAACCCTGATGCTGGATCTGGGGACAGCCCTGACACCACCCCTAAGATGCTGGGAGCCAGTGGGGCCCCACCCACCTTCCCACAACTGCGGCAATGGTGCTTCCTACGGATGACAGTGAAGGGCGCTTTACAGGCGGTGCAGAAGCCGCAGGCCTCATCTGGTACCCACTCAGGGGGGTCTGTCACAACAAGAGAGGGGTGCATCAGCAATGCAAGGCAGGGGAGCTGAGGGGAGAGGTAGGGCGGAGGCCTGGTTGGCAGGAAGATACCTCTGATCCCACTCCTCTGGTCCGGCCCTTGACTTGTCAGTACTGCCAGTGACTGATTAGAATTTCAGTGGAAAGTGTCATCTGGCAATCACACAACAGCTGCAGGCCCTAGGGCGGGCATTCTGGACCCAGGATGTAGGATGGCAGTGTCCACCTTGGTGTTCATGCCCTAGCCAATACCTGGCCATCTCTGGTCAGCCCTATCTGCTGCCATCTGGCTGGACACCAATCCAGGCCTCTGTGACCCAGGGATCCATTTAACAGTCTGCCAACATCCTCTTCCACAGGCCCCTCCACAGATGTGCTGAAGTGCCCTCAAACAGTCCAGGACCCCTCTCCTTTCATAGCCAAGCTTCTTGGCCTCCAGCCCACTCCAAGAGGATGCCACATGACTTGCTTAGTCTGCAGCTGCCTCCCCACCAAAAGACAGTTCTTGCAGCCCCACAGCCCCCATTAATGTCCCAGGGTGTCCCGAGGCTGCTATGTGAGACTCCTTTGGTGCAGCCAGTCAATCCCTGCTCCCCACCCTTTACCTTGTGTCTACCAGGATGAAATGCTAAATACATGGCCTGAGGTCCTGTAGCAGCAAGGGGGTTGTATATACTGAGTACCAGGTTTGGGGTACAGACTGGGGGGCTACCTCCCATAGGAAGCTGTACCCTCCAATGGCCTGGGTGCCTGGGTATGGACGGAAGCTGAACACCATGTAAAGTAGCCCGTTCTGCTCAGAAGACAGCATGCCGAGTCCATATCAGAGCTTCCCACATACCTTCAAAGTCCCCTTCACGGGTCTTGGCTGCCAATTCTGTGGAAGACATGGTTTCCTGGCATAACGCGCAGTCCTCCAAGGCTGCACTCCGCAGGGTCTGGGTTACTGGAAGAGAGAGGGAGGCCACGGGCTTTGGTGGGAAATAAAGTAGATGTAGAAGGTTGTTCTCCCCAGGGGTGAGCATCTGGGTGCTCCCAAAATTTCAGGTTCTCCAAGTCCCCTGACCATCTCTTGGCACACAGAACAAGTCACCTCAGCAGGTGGGGTGCCAATACTGGCAAAGGTGTTCCTGTCTAAGGGCCCTTCTTTGTACAGTGTGGTGGACTGTGGGGCACACAGTGGCTCCCCTACATAGGGATCTAACCCTGAGATCCCAGCACTGAGTGGTCAGATTCCCTGGCCTATGACCCCCAAGGCAGGTGGACTCTGAAGCCCAGCATCTGAGAACCATGTCTAGAGTGTGGTCGAGGGTGCAGTCCTCATCACCACCCTTTCTGAGTCATGATTTCCAGGAGGCAGCCCTGCCTGGATTTCCAGGCGGAAGGTGACCAGGTAGCAAAGCTGGTTGAGGTAGAGGCTTCTGACCAGCAAGAACATGCCCTGTTGAGCCAGACTTCCCAAACCAGCTGGGCCCTCCCAGGTACCCAGATACCCCCATGATCAGAAGCTCTGTGCTAAGACGTAGCTCCTTGAGAACAGGAACCTCAGCCTAGCACCAGGAGTCTAGCCCCCTTTCCCAGCAGGGACCCTAAAGGGACAGAGTGCAAACTCCTGTCCTGTGCTTGTCAGCTCCTGTCCTGACACCTTCCTTGCCAAGTTCCTGTTTACTTGTTATGTATGCAAGGCATGCACGTCCATGAAAGTGTGTACATGTATATATACCTACATATAAATGCGAGAGCACACATATATGCCTGCAGTGTGCTGCGTGTGTGTAAATGTGAAACAGATCTGCCACCGTCCCATGGGGAGATGGGCACATGTCCCCTCCACTTCACTCGAGCTGGCCTGCGGCTACTTTGTCAGATGGGTAAAACTAATGCTGTGCCTTGTCTGGTCATCTGGTCTAGTCTAAAATGGGAGGGCAGGTCCCCAACTTCTGCAGTTAAAAAGTTGGACCACTTGCTTTAGCCTCTGCAGGGGTCCAGAGCCAGGACCCCCCTGAAAAGAGGCATGGGGAGCCACTTCTCCAGGCTACACACTCATCTCCCCAAGTTGACAAGCTGGCACGTTGGTCTGGCAGACCCTGGGGTGTGTGCTTGCTTGCCTTGAGGTGATTTTCTGTGTATGCCCTTCTTGGGGCCTGGATGCAGTGGCTGGCACAAGCCTCACCACCTGCCCTGCAGGGGCACTCACTCACTCTCTTCTTTTTTAGAATATTTTCATGTGAACATTTTTTATTTAGTATTTTTATTTAATGTGTACAAGTGTATTGCCTGCATGTGTGTAAGTGTATCCATGTTGTGCAGTGTGCACAGAGGCATCGGATCCCCTGGAAAAGGAGTTATGGAGGGGACTCACCCTTCTTTAACTTTTCTTTGTCATCTGTCTCTGGCTTGGTGGCCATAACCTCAAACAGTGTTTTGAGAATACTTCTCAGGTCACTGGCATAGTTCGTCTGCAGCTGGTCAGCCACACCTGATGGAAAAGTGACAGAAGGACAGAAGGCTAGGCTGAGCTGGCCACACCATGAGGTTACTGCCATGTCATGGATAGGTCCCACCCAATGCTCATGGATGAGCACGTCCCAACCCCCTGGGAGAGGATTCACTTGCCATAAGTACAGACGCAGGATCCAGAGGAGATGGGAAGGAACAAGTGTTTCCTGCTGGCTTCACCACAGCGGCTCTCATTAATATGCAACTTATCCACAGGTCGCAGCCACCTCCCCTCAATGGTCCTGACTGCTTGCCAAGAGACACCCATAGAGCCCCCCCCACCCCACACCGTGCCTATAGCAGCACCTTTCACCATCACAGAAACTCAGGCATCCAGATGTATCCATACTCCAGTGGCACAGTTCCTCCAGTACCCCAAACCACACTGAATAACTTTGACTGCAGGGTCTCAGAACAGGCCCCACATGGCCATGGATCCCAGAGTAGATCCCACTATGAGGTGGTATCCAGGGTCCAGCTGTTCTCCCCACCTGAGCCTGTCACCTCTCGCCACCCCTGGAGGAAAGTGCTCCCCACCTTCCCCTGCAGAGCTCCTCCTCCCTCCCTGTGGGGCAGATCTAATCCTGCCCCCAGGATTGCTCTACAGACCACACTGCCCCTCAGCCAGGGGGAGGCTGGGCCTGCCCCCGCAATGTTGCTCCCCTGCAGCAAGCCCCTCATGTTCTCAAGCCCATGTCATGGGCCCAGAGCTCCCACCTGAAATGCAGACAAACAGGCGGTGGATCAGGTCATGGCTGCTGTGGAACCTGGACCGGATCTTCTCTCTGGTGGCCATGGGAGTGACAGGCATAGCTGCAGGAGCCACATCCAGCCCGGTCTTGTCTAAGGAGCAGGAAGCAGCCAAGGAGCTGATGCAGAGAGAAGGAGAGGCAGGGAAGGTGGGTGGCGGGCACAGCAAGGGGCCTCCAGAGCCTAAGGTCAGTGGGTTAGGGCAAGTCTGTCCTCAAGCTCCCACTGCAGAGTTGAGTTGCCCAGATGGGACATTTCTTATAATCAAATGCCATCAAGGAGGAGGCAGCCACCTGATCAGAATGAGAGATTGGAGTGATATGACCATAGGCCAAGGGACCCCTGGAGTCCCCTGGAGCTGGGAGAGGCAAGAAGGAGCCTCTCTGGTGACTCTGGAAGGGAGAGTAATCCTGCTGGATTTTGGCCTTTTAACCTCTAGACCGAGACACATTTCTGTCAGTGTAGACCACCCACTGTGACACTTTGTTATAGGAGCAACAGAACACTCATACGATCTCTTCTTCTGGACACATGTCCCTCCCCTTCCCTCCATTCCCCTCTTCACTAGCTGCATCCTAGTTTTGTTAGATTTGTTCTTTAAGGCTTCACTGTAACTATGTAAAGGCGATTCACAGATGAATATCTGCCAATTCTGGATTCCATCTGCCCCAACTCAAACCAAAAATTAGCAGCCGGGGAGACGGCTCAGGGATTAAACCAGTTGCCACATAATGAACTGGACTTTGGGTCCCCAGAAATCCACCTAAATGTTGCGTGGGTGAGGTGGCCCACCTGCTATTCCAGCTGCACAGGGTGGCAGCAGGGAATCTCCATCAAGCTCTGGGCTTGATTGAGAGACCGACTCGATCAGTAAGGTAGATGAGTGACAGCAACCTGGCAGCCTCCACACGCATGTGCACACACACAAGCACACATGCACACCCATACCCACATGCATTCACACCACATACACACATGAAGAAGTGGAAAAAGGCCAAAACTTCACACTAATGACCTATCTTCTGCCCTCTTTGTCTTTCTGTCTCACGATTTGAGAAACTCCCTCAGATTTTCCTTCCAGTTTTACCCTTGACATTTTAATATCTGCTATCAGGTTTCTAACATTCTGTTCCTTCTGTGGTTTCCCATATATAAAATCTTTTTTATTAAAAATTATTTTGGTGTGTGTGTGTGTGTGTGTGTGTGCCCCTGGAGGTCAGAAGAGGGCATCAGGTCCCCTGGAGCAGGTGTCACAGGCCTTTATGATCCTTCAGATGTGGGTGTTGGGAACTGCTCCAGTCTTCCAGAAAAGAAATAAGCACTCTTCTTTTTTAAAAAATTTATTATTTTTATTTTATGTATATGTGTGTATTGCCTGCATGTAAGTAAGTGCACCCGTGTCCTGCAACGCCCACACAGGTCAGAAGAGGCCATCAGATCCCCTGGAACTGGAGTTAT